ACGATCTGTGGGTGTGCAAAAATAGGTGTTTGCACACCCTCAGGATTTTCAGGGTGTGCAATTGCACACCCTGCCCCCCGGAATCCGCGGTCCCTGAAGCTGGCTGGGTTGGCAGCCCTTCACTTGCCGGAGGGAGTGCCGCACTCCACTCGCTGAAGGGGGCGGGGGTGCTGTCCACTTGCCGGGGGATGGGGAGAGCTGGGGAGACTGCCCTGAACTGACCGAAGACTGGGTGGTAACTGGGTCAGCCACTCTTCAAGGCTGTGGTAACCTCTTAGCTGGTTGAGGTCACTCTCCCTCTGGCGAGAGGTCCGGGGAGGGGAGGAGGGGTCGTGTGGCTGGTCCGACCACTCTCCGTGGCTGTCGGAGGCTTCACTTGAGAGGAAACTGGGCTGACATGGACATCCAGCAGGCCTCAGATAGCTAATGACCCCGTCTAATGCATTTGGCGCAGACACCAGCATCCCCAAGCCTCTGTCAAATCAGTCACCATACCATGCTATCATAAAACGTATCGATTTGAGAGCAGGCTCGGATCTTTTCCAGACCTACTGAACCCCGCATATGATAAAATGCAATGCATCTTGCCACATCTTGCTAATGACCAGAATTAGCTGATCAGGCGATGTTTATGGCTGGTGGGTGTACGGTATAAAAGAAGCTCTTGCCCTAAACATGTTTGCAAAATAATTCCTTGTGTAACGGGTTCTATCTCAGTTAATCTGAATGCAAAATGTAAATAAAACTACCCTATTGAATAGCGATCTTGTTCTTCATTACCAATCGGTGTTTGGGACTGCGGGAAAGACCGCACAGTTTAGAAAGGCCCCTCAGATGCCAAAAAAAGGATGTGTCGCTGATCCCGGGAGCATATGTGCAGTGTGAGCTGCAAAGGCCGCCGGGAAACCGAGGCAGCTGGCGTTTAGAGGTCGCCGGGAGCCCACTTGGCCCTCTGCCGGGAGTCCACCCGTCCCTCTGCCGGGGGACCACCCAGCCCTCTGCCGGGAAACCACCCAGCCCTCCCCCGGGGACCACCCAGCCCTCCGCCAGGAGACCGCCCATCCCTCCACTGGGAGACCGCCCGTCCCTCCACCGAGACCGTCCGTCCCTCTCCCGGGGGACCTCCCATCCCTCCCCCGGGGGACCACCCAGCCCTCCCCCGGCATCACCCACTGAGTGGATGACAGATCATCGCGGCCCCAGCGCCGGCGATCCATTTCCGACAAACCCACCGGCCGTCGACGGATGGCGCATATTTTACCATCGCATCAGCATGCATTGCGACCAATGTTGCAGAAAGCGCCCCGTGTTCCCGGTGGAGTGGGCCGCACCTTATCCCCGCTCGGCTAATGGAGCATCCGGGCCCGGCGCGCGTGCATACACACACGATCGGCCCGGCCGGAGCATACTAGCGGCGAATGCCAATGCGCCGGTCCATACGATGTGTGACTAAGTAGTACATAAGTATCATTGTCCACTGAGCAGTGTGCTCCCGGCTGGCAGCGTTGAACATTGAACAACTACACCAATAAACACATGAAACTTATATCTGGCTTTGCTTTTCGGGACAGAGCATCCGTGCCAAGCCGGGTTTCTGACAGCTTCAATGGAAAAGGCTTCAATTGCATGACCCAACGCTAGGAGCTGCAGCGCTAAGAGATGCGAGCTGGATTTCTTCAAAAAGGAGCTGAAGCATTTGTAACCACAGCTTGATTTTCCGCTAGCTGTGCAGGTCATTGGCTCGACAACGAGGGGCAACATAAATAGAAACCGCGAATAAATAAAAAGCCCAATTTCCTAGCTGTTATGGTTTTATTCATTGATTTATTTTTATTTTTATTTTTGTTGCACCGAGCAAACTGAAGCCCGGTCCAAATCCACGCAGAGATATAAGGTACATTGACTCTATGTATATCCCGGCGAATTTACATCATCCGTACAACGCTAACTTTGCTATTCCCTGCGGGATCAAGCATATTCCAAAGGAGTTCGGAGCGTATTCAGAGGTTTCCTGAAGACGTGAAAGGCCCGAAGTTGGCACCGCCTGCTTTGGAAGCTGTAGGCAGTGACCGGGGGCGGTCCGTCAATTCGAGACCGCATGTCGCGGCGGGCGGCAGGGAGACGCTACGCCCCCAGAGAATGGGGGGAGCTATGGTTAATGTGCAAGGAGGAGGAGGGTGGGGGAGCTGCGCCGTAAGCTAGAGGTGGGTGGGGACCGAGCGCCAGGAGCCGCTTCCCCAGAAGTCAGTGGGAGCCGTTCTCCATAGACGGGTGGGGCTGAACGTTTTGCGCCGGGAGCTGGTGGGGGCACCCGCCCGGCGCCATTCCCCCGATAGGCGTTATCACAAGTGTATTCGCGGTCATTGGGGCGACGTAAGAAAAGAAGAAAGCAACTGGCCCCAAGAACTTTAAATTATCAGTTAGCATGCACCTTTTCCTTGATGTGTGGATAATTTACCATTACTTGTTACAGAAAATTGCATTTAAAATCTTTCATTTATGCTTTTTCATCGTTTGCGAAATATGTTCTTTTATTAAGCTAGAAACACTTATTAGAAATAGTTCCCGCATCATCAAGAACAATAGGGAAGGCTTGAAGTGAATAAAATAATTTAAACGGTTTTGTAATCTATGTGAAGGCACTTCTAAAAATGCCTGTAGAAATATTGAAGGCAAAAGTTCAACTTTTTCACAAGAAGGATGCCTATAAACCTATTTAACTTGTGACAACTCAGCCGGTATTTCGTCGCCTACAGCCCAGCTTTCCCTAGTGACCGATAGAGGCGCTGCTTTCGATGTCCGCCCGTGCCGCCTAACGCAGAAGTGAGAGTGGTCCGCTCCTTATAAGCCGTCGGTAGCCGCCTATCCAGCGCCGTGGCCTATCGTTCCGCCGCCGACAGATCCATCCGTCGACCGTGCCGCGCCGGAGGCCAGGTGCCATTGTGTCGGCCGAGCCGCGCGCGTCGCCGCTCGCCGCTATGAATACAATCTCCATCAGAAGCTCGACCGGCCGCCATCGGCGCTCGAACTGAGCGGGCGCGGCGCCGGCGGGCCTGTCCGGTGACACGGGCCCCGCCGCAGCCGGATACAACAGGCCGCCGTATGTAGATGGGGGTTATTGAGCGGACCTAATGTGGACGGGATCCGATTGGACGGCCCGGTGAGAGCGGAAGCCGCGCAGAGCCACCGACGAGAGGTCGCCGGCCACGGGTCGCCGGGGTGAGATAGGTTAGAAGGTCGGAGAGGCAGCAGGTCACGGGTCGCTAGGGAGGCATACAAAGTTAGAGGGCTGGCTGGGACATCAGGTCACGGGGCAGTGGGGTGAGATAGGTTAGAAAGGTTGGAGGGACAGTCGGACACGGGTCGCTAGGAAGGGATACAAATTTAGAGGGTTGGCTGGGACAGCAGGTCACGGAGCAGTGGGGTGAGATAGGTTAGAAGAGTTGGAGGGACAGTCGGACAAGGGTCACTACCGCTGGGGCGAGATGGGTTAAATGGCTGGCCGGCACAGCCGGTTTCGGGTCTGCGGGCTCGGACGGGCCGTGGGGACAATCTGATGTCTGTGGGATGGGTCCGAGAGACTGTGGTCTGTGCCCTGTGGTACGAGCATGGTGTCTGTGGTCTGTGTGCTGGGTCGGGTGTCTGTCTGCGCCGTGTGTGTGTGGGCCGTGGCCGCGCCCGCCGCCGGTAGTCCGGTGTCTGCCGCGCTCGCCGCCGGTAAAGTACCTCGTCCATCATCGCTGCGGTCAGAGCGGACCGGAGGCCGACGGACGCCATAGCCGCGGCCGGCGGCCCGCAGACCTGAGCCCATCTGTCTCACGCAGCCGGCAACAAATCCACCGCCTCTCTGCCGGATGGCCCGAATGTGCCTCAAATGGGCGACCATTACCGCTACGAGAAAACGAGTTACTTCATAAAAGAATTGGCGGATTTTCTCAGAACAAGTTCCAATAATCATCGAAACATAGGTCATCCGACTTCATGCTGATCAGTCATCCGATAAAGGAAATGTTTACGGGTATCCGTCATGCCATAAGTTATTGCGGATTCCGATGCATTATGCAGGTAAATACCGCCGTTCGTCAAACTGAGTTATTTGTTTGCTACGAATAAGAAGCATCGTATGCTATCCGAGTAGCTCCTTTGCAAAACAGTCAGAGATAAATGCTGACCGATAGGTGAAAACGCCAATAGACTAGGAAGGAGGAACGCACGGAGCGCATTACAAAACACAGCACTTGGCTGACCTTTTTAGCTCTATTGCTTGAAGTGCGGCCATTTGTCGGCTTTTTGAAAGCACACTGACTGACAAGTTATGCCTTTATACCTAGTACCGGCAGTGGCCGTGGCATTTTCACACTGTCTGCAGTAACCCGACCTTATCCTACTACCTGTCAGAGTTCGGGCGTTACCCAACTGCCTGGCCTGCCGCGGGAATCCGCCGTTACCTCACCCTGCCTGCCTTGGGTCCGGGCGTTACACCACACCACCCACTAAGCCCATACCGGCGGCCAACCGTCATAAACGAGCTAGCGTCCGTGTCGACAGGCGTGGCGGCTAACGTTACTGGAAAATACCTCACCGGAACTGCCGGCAGCAGCAACTAAAGAGCATTTACGACCCCTCGGGGACAACAAAGTCCGGAACATCAGCTACCGGAATGACAATCCATACGGCTGACGGTGGCACTCCCAAACTTTATACAGCTGAAGGGCACTTAGCAGTCGCCATGTCCCGGGCTAGAACGCAAATGGAGGAACTGAAGAGTAACCCAACTGTCATCAACAGTGTCAACTGTCAACTGCCAACATCAACGGTCATCAACCCGACTATCACGCCTAACAGTGGCTCATTGTCACTACCAACTGTGACTTCACTGTCACCACTAGCAGTGACTCCAATGTCACCAATACCAATGTCACCTTACCTCCCCTACTCGCCCTACTCCCTCACTACTCCCACTCTCACCCATCAGTAACCCCTCAGTTTCGTCTACTCACCGATGACGGTCAGGTTGACCCTGGCGTTGAGTGTTGGCGACGCCTTGAAGTCTGCCCGGCACCGGTACACGCCCTGATCCTCCTCCTGGACGTCCTGAATTCTCAGCAGCGGGGTCACCGGGTGGGGCTCGAAGGAGGACCGTCGGCCCAGCGAGTCCTCGTTGGCCCAGTGGGTGCCGCGACTCGACTGGCGACCGCGAGTGTCGTAACTGTGGGACACATCAGCTGGTCAGTTAGAGCTCTCAGCACCGGCTGGTCAGAACAGCTTGTCAGAACTCAGAACAGCTGGTCAGAGCGTGTTTAGTCAGAACAGTTGGTAAGAACAGGTGGGCAATGCAAGCGGCTCAGCAGAGCTGGCCAGTACATGATCAGCACAGCTGGTCAGTACAGGATCAGGACAGCTGGTAAGAATAGCTTGTCGACACAGCTGCTCAGCACCAGTTGCGGCCAGTCACTTGTCGGTAAAGACGGCACGTCACAGCAGCTCAGGACCCGGCGAGGTTGCCGGGTCGAGCAGCGCACTGCACACAGGCCTCCGAACTAGGTGCGCAGGTGAGCTCGATACACAAATAGCATCGTTACCTTACGCGCTGAAATATCTGAATTAATTTTGTCAAGCCTGTCCCTTTGCAAGTGCCACTACGCACCATGACATTTCAAAGATAATCACCACGTTCAATAATGAGCTCGGCCAAAGTTAAGATGAGAACTTCCGTAATTCAATTAAGAAGTGCACCCAGTTCCACCTCATGAATAATTTAATTCATAAGTGAAACAGCTTTGGCGCTCAGATTAGTAAATCACAAACTTTGTAACAACACCGGACGCAAATAACCTATATTTATGTATTTATGTCAAGGAAGGTTGAGTAACAGAACGAACTCTTACCAGATTGAGTTTCAAGCCGTGCAAACTTAGCATTGCGCTCAGCACTGCATGAACTTGCAATTACGGGCCTACTTTCATGAAAACAACAAAACTTTTGCAAAACTTTCAAACTTACCAATAATGTATCTCTTGCACTCTCCGTGTGAACTCAATCCCCTCATGGAAAACAGTGTTCCAGGATATACACATCATATCTACGAGTCGAGTCCCGACTTTACCACGAAGAACGGCACTGCAGTGGTGTGTGAACGGCGTTCCGATGCCCTCTATGTGAATAACTATTTAAGTGCGAGCAAAACTGCATGCCGCTGATCTATATGAGTGTGCTTCACCTTATGATAAGGTGAGCTCACCTTTTAAGCGGCTCGCTGTTAAAACTCGCCTAGAAACGGCACCCCAGCGCCGCGTGAACTCACCTATAAAAGACACTCCAGCGCTGTGTGAACTGAACAGATCTACAAGCGGCACTCCAGCGCTATGTGAACTCACTTATAAACGGCACTCCAGCGCCGCGTGAACTCGCCTGTACAAAGGCACTCCAGTGATGTGTGAAGTGTGAACTCACGTATAAGCATCACTTCAGCGCTATGTGAACGCACCTGTTAAAAGTGTTAAAAGTGCACTGAGAACTCACCTAAAATAAGCGGGACAGTGCTGTGTGAACCCACCTGTAGAACGGCGCTCCGGTGCTGTCCTTATACCAGAGCACCAGTCTCATGATGTCTCGGGACGTGTCGGGGTCGACACTACAGGGCAGCTCGGCAGACCCTCCGGTCACCGCCGTCACCTGAGTCACCTGACCTGGGGGCGGGGAGACACAGGTCAGGTCACCTGACCAGGGGTGAGACACAAGTGAAGTCAGCTGACCTGGTGGCGGGGGGACACACAGGTCAGGTCTCCTGACCAGGACAGCTCGGCATCCCCCCCCGGTCATCGCGGTCACCTGGGTCACCTGACCTGGGGGGAGACATAGAAGTAAGGTCACCTGACCTGGGAGTGGGGGCGGGGGGACATACAGGTCAGGTCAGCTGACCAAGGCAGCTCGGCAGCTTCGCCGGTCACTGCCGTTATAAACCTGACCTGGGGGGAGACATAGAAGTAAGGTCACCTGACCTGGCGGCGGGATGGACACACATATGAGATCACCTGATAGGTGGCGGAGTGATACACACAGGCGAGGACATTGAAGCTAACTGACGTATGTCATGGCCACCAGAATAAGATCTTTCACGGCTAAAGTCGATTCGAAGACAATTCAAATGGCACTCTCACAAACAAGCACAACTACCAAGCGGACACCAAATAGGGTATAACATTTTTACCTTTCCAAAAAAATATATTTTCACATGACATCACCATTCCGAACATAGTAACTGCTTTCCGAAACTTTGAAGGTATGCTTTATCACGTTGAAATATTCGTCTTGGATTTCTTGTTTGTGCAGTGTGCGCGCTGTTTGAAGAAGTGGACATTCAAGTTTAGTATCTAAACGGGAAAACATAAACTGAGACTGAAAGCCAATGAATAAATGAAGGTACGGTATCTGAAGTAATAAAACCTGAAGTTTCGAAACAAATGCTATTTATATTTTTTAAGCTGCAAAAGCATTGCAACAAAGTGAGGGTGTTTTCGCATTGAATCACCCATGGGATGAAGAAATATGGAATGGGGAGCGACTTTAGGCGAGCGATTTGTTTCAAATTTCAGTAGGGTAGTAGGTGTAAACATTTTTACGAGCTTCCAAGACGCAATATTGACGCAGAACATCTTGTTTTATGAGTGCTCAGTGCGTGCTCAATTTCATTTCCCTTCAGCTGGTTGAGTGCCACTCCACAGAGTTCACCAAAGCAGAATAACCCATGAGGCGTCGTCTAATGCGCCGGCCCCGCGGCAGGCGAGATGGCAGCCTAAATCTCCCTCAATTTTCATTTACATATTTCTGGAGAAGTATAACTCTTTGTTTGTGTGTTGGAATGGATCGTATATTTCAGTCATAACCCAGGGCATGATAGGCGACCTTTTATTGCCAAGAGTTACACATTAAATTGTGAAATGATTCCACCACGAAGAACAATATGTGCCATCGCCGAGAAGCATGGCGTTTCGCATGCCCTATTTCCACACATAAATTTGATAAAAGAGGAGAGGCGAAGATCTAAACGTAAGTAAGGGTATACGGCTTAGCACTCCCCTACGATTCATCCTACCATTTCAAATGTTTGCTTCTTGTTTGGTTGAGGGTTTTCTGTTCGTATACCTCATTAATGGCACTTGGCAGCTAATAATAATGCCTGGTGGCCAGCTCGCTCTGAGTGACTGCCTCTGCCGACGGGCCGGCGTATTCCGGAGTGTCGCCGATGTAATGCAGCCTGTCACTCAGTCCGAGCCGACAGCCTGTGTGCAGTCCACACGCCGCCGATCCAGCCGGAGGCAATCGGCTGAGCGGCTTCAATGCACTTACCAGCGTACTTTACGTAATGAGCCAGTCGGCTGTGCAGCACGATTATCAATCTAGTGATTATGATCGCTTAATTTCACCAATCAAATTTATTGATAGCTTTGGCGTCCTCAATGTTCTTGGTTGAGCTTTAAAATACATTTTATATGCTGCTAAACTGAGTTAGGGCATTTTGCTGCCAACTGTGTATTGTGCAATGTCAGAGTCGCTCACAAACTTCGCTTTATTATTACGAATGGGTGATAACGTCCATCCCATTTAGTAACAGGAAACGGCCAATCGGGAAGTCGTTAGCAGCAGACGCCGTTCGGGTACATTGTGGCGGCGCCGGCAGTGAGTTCGCTCAGAGCCGGAGGCGGCCACATTTCCCCGCGACTGGGAACGGAATGGGCGAATGAGCCAGTCAGCTCTGTCCGGTGACGGAATGGGGGAATAAGTCAGTCAGCTCTGCCCGGTGACAGTGGAATGGGGGAATGAAACAGTCGGCTCTGCCCGGTGACGGAATGGGGGAATAATGCAGTCGGCTCTACTCGATGACGGAATGGGGGAATGAGTCAGTCGGCTCTGCCCGGTGACGGTGGAATGACTCCGCTCCGCCCGGTGATTGTGGAATGGGTACCATATAGTCATCTCTGACCGGTAAGAGCGAACGGAATGAAGGAGTGCCCTACCAGTCAGTTTCACAGTGAATGGAATGGGGAAAAGATGTGCCAGTCAGTTCCACTGGACGCTAGTCTGGTGTGCGAACAAAATAACTTATCCCCATTGGTGACAATGGATGGAATGGGAGGGGGGTGAGCCTGAAGCTAGTCAGCTATTTCCGCTGTGAACAGAATGGATGACTAAGTAAATGCTTCACAAGCCACGCTGTTCGGTGACAGTAAAAAAGGAAGAATAATACTTTCGCATGCTAGGAGATTTAAAGAGTCGCTGAGATAGCAAGCTGAGCCAAAGTGATTGAGCTTTTTCAGTTTTTTTTTTCAGTGTAATGCTTATTGCTTAACATGCTACCTGTGTTTCGATTTCTGGGCGTTTGTGTTACCTGATTAGTGATTGATTACTTTAACCGGCATTCTTAGATCTATTCAAGACAAACTTATCATTTCAGATTATATAATCCTTTCACGTGCGGATGCTTCTCAAACATTCATGAAAACTCGCACATTTTAGCGAGGTGCTTTTTCAACATCGTGAAATTGAAAACTTGCGATCGAATACAACCAGTTTCCAATCATTTCAGCTGTTCAGCGAGAATGGTCTTTTCACGTCAGTTCCGTGCAAAATACATTAACGCTTGGCGTTAGAGGTGCAACCGGCCCCCCCCCCGTTTCCTGGAGGTGCCCGGCATATGAGGGAGCCGGCCACAGAGGGTGCGGGCGCCAATTGGAGGCTAGATAAGCGCCAGCGGTCGAGTAAGCAAACACAGCCCGCCCGGCCTGGCGACGACACTGCGCCGGCCGCCGGGCGCCTCCAGTGCGTGAGTGGCACGTCAGACGGCGGCCGCTCATGTTTTTCGTGCGTGCGCGCTCAAGCCGCTGCGATCATCTCCCGGAGATGGGACGCTCCACACGCGAAAGGGCATCCGGTAAGTCACGCCTTTGCTTGCTGGCGTCTCCCCATTGTGTCCAGGCTGTCACGAGCGACCTCACTACCAGCATCTTAGGCCCGCGGGCGCTCCGTGCCGGCGTACCTACCGCCCCCTCGTATTGTTGTGTTGAACATTTCAGAGTGGTCCACGTTCCACTTGTGTGTCGTTTACTGCCGTGGCGATCACGTGGCGATTACTGCTCCTTTGCTTGTCTTACCGCCGACACGTCCCGCGCCGTCACGCCGCAGCTGACATCCCATGCTTATGTCATGAGAGTTTCGCGGACGGCCAGTCCGCCCTGCCCTACTATAACGCCCATCTCACCCGTCGCCGGTGAGACTTCCCGTCGGCTATTAGGCCGTCACGCCGCCGCTAGCATGGCTTCTATCGTCAGTCGCCTGGACTGTGCCGTCTTATACGCTGTCACGCCGCCGCTGACAATCAACTATCTCGCCCGTTGCACGGCCTGTCCCGTCTGTCATACGTGGTCAAGCCGCTGCTGACTACCTCTTCTGTCACACGGACTGTTCGTCTGTCATTTACACCGTCACGCCGCCGCCAGACCTCGGGTTCGCCATGTCGTTCCCACCGCCGCCTAACCCGCTGTCGGAGGCCGCGCCGTCCCTCGGGCTCGGACTGCGGCCAGCCACCGCCGGCGATCGCCAACCGCGCGCTTGTTTGCTAGGCGCCAACTCTCCTCCCTGCCCGCACTCGTATGGGCGACGCTGTTATCCGGCGCCCTCCCACCCGCTCTTGGCAGCCCTCGCGGCTCAGTGGTTTGCCCGGGCGGCATGTGCGCCGTGTGTCTCTGGGATCCCAGTGACCAGGCTCAGTCCCAGAGAGCTATGGAAGTTTGTACAGCAATACCGGGCGCGAAATCCAGCGCTGCGCCCCTGCTACGCCCCGTTTCCACTCACTTTCTACCCAGCGTGGCCGGTTGGTGACGCATTAAACGTTTGCTAATGCTATCCCGTGACCTCACAGCGGCCGTCACCGAGCTCGTTTATTCCACCCCAAAAGTCCCGGGGTACTTATGATTCCCCCGCGCCCGCATGGCATACCTCATGCCGCCCCTTGCCGGCATCGTGCCCATACATTTGGGCAAATTTTGGCGTCTTTCAGCTAGGGAGAGCTGGAACACACGCAATAGGAGCTGGCGGAGGTCGAGGCCGCACTACGCCAAATCCTCCCGGATACCGAGGTAAGAGACGGGTAGGTCCGGCCCCATCACACCACGCAGGCACCGGCGACGCCAACGTTAATGGTCTTTTCACGTCAGTTCCGTGCAAAATACATTAACGCTTGGCGTTAGAGGTGCAACCGGCCCCCCCCCCCTGTTTCCTGGAGGTGCCCGGCATATGAGGGAGCCGGCCACAGAGGGTGCGGGCGCCAATTGGAGGCTAGATAAGCGCCAGCGGTCGAGTAAGCAAACACAGCCCGCCCGGCCTGGCGAGGACACTGCGCCGGCCGCCGGGCGCCTCCAGTGCGTGAGTGGCACGTCAGACGGCGGCCGCTCATGTTTTTCGTTTTTTTTTCTTTCTTATTTTTCCTTTGTCTCCTTCCGTCAACTCCGGCGTCTTTCAGCTAGGGAGAGCTGGAACACACGCAATAGGAGCTGGCGGAGGTCGAGGCCGCACTTCGACGCCCTCACAAATGGCACCTCGTTAGGGAAGTTAGCCGCCAATCCAAGCGACACGGTGCTTGGAGGAAAGGAAAGTCCACATTGCGACAACTTCTCTTTCCTCTAGCGTTGAA